TACAGAGCAACCCCACCAGCCCTCCCTCGTTTTGAGTCAGCTCGAAAAATAAAGTAACCGTCTATCGAGATCTCCGCGTCGGAGACATCTGGTGTGAGCCAGGTCTCTGTGAGTGCAATTATGGACGGTTTTCAAGGCTTATTCCTTGATATTTTTTCGTATTTCCTCCTTCTGCTTTATATGGCCTGCGTCAAACCGCTCCCTGAATACGTACGCCGGGTATGTCCACACCGTACGCAAGTGGATGTAACACTAACTAAGCGTGGTCAACGGATTTCTAAGAATATTTCTGGTGCCCACGAATCCGTCGATTGTGGAGAGCATCCTGAAGTTCATGGACTCTTTTCCCTGGCCTATCATCGTCTACGAAGGGGGCTGATAATTACTCACTCTTTTTTGAACAAGGTTTTTTTCGGCTGCCTTTAAACCGTCGACCCTAAATATACACACCGGGGGGCGTCACAAGGCGTTCAGTTTTCTCTCCCCTCTTCTAAAGTCCTCTCAAAGCAGCATGTTTCTGTTCACTGTATTCGCAATGGTTTCAATCATAACACGATAAAATCTTGGGTGCAACTGGAGCTACACTTACTCGGCGCAATCCGAGATGGGGATCCAAATCCGCAAATGGTGCAGCATGGATGAGCACGGTATGTCGCTCGTGGGCATATTGGAGAACTAACCCACTGATTCGAGCCTATAATAAAAGTGCTTTCATCTGGTTAATATTTAGACACTGTTTTGGTTCGTTCACGGCTTTGCCGCTTTTTCAGTCCTATAACCGCTTTTTTCCAATTATCCGTAGGACGGGACACCTTCTTCCCTTCGATTTACCAACGGAACTGATTAGGAGTTTGGACCGAAGTTGACTCCCTTCGTTTATGGTTAAATTTTTCATTTTCGCAGGGGGTTTGATGGCTCAACATGGCTAGTTTATAGTAGCGTTTGAACATTCAAGCATGTACGCTACTAAACAAGAATACAGCAGATTCGCACTCCCGCCAATTTTTGGGACATGCGCAGCTCTAATGAATTCCAACAAGGCGGATAGTTTCACACAATTATTGTTAGCTCCACATTATTGTTTGACCCTACCATTAGGTAAAAATGTCTATTACGCTGGCCCCATTTTCCTGGCTGTTAAACCGTTCGCTGAGCCTTGTAGTTGCACCGCTTATTTGCTACCTACAATCAGAAGCACATCAGGGTGAATCTGCGAACAGAGCTCCCAGCCTTCAGCTGTGTAATAATCTGCTCTCACTTCTAACCTCTAAAAAAATTCAAATATCTGAAGTAGGCTATTTGTAAGGTGTCCGCCGTTAAATATATGCCACTTGTCCTCCTGTATTGCCAAGTTTACCATACAGAAATTTTGACAAGGCTGCCCTCTTCTACGGGTCATGTGAGTTACGAACAAATTAACATGCTCTGATGCCGGTAAACTTGACTAAGTTATTAACAACAAGTGGTGTTGTCGAATTTTATCGAATCGCCCCAAACCTGCGCCCGTAAATGCTTAGCCGCAGACCTTTTTCCCTGAGTTTGTGGGTTTTGGTTGTGTACGGACACACTGATCGTAGTAAACTGTTTACAACTAGCCGCAAAATTACTGAAGACAGTCGCACGTGTAACACTCTACTTGGTGTGATTAAAACACTGCTACTCTTTTACCCCATGATTCTCTGTTTCCTAATCCACATCTACCTATACGGTTATTTGTCGTGTATATATGTGCGTAGTGAACGACAGCCGGTTAACGACAAGAACAAAACCGACCCAGAAAAATGGGGCAAGAGCCTGGATCCTGTGTATCGATTCGCGAATGAGTGATAAACCCACTACACTCATCAGTCAGTCATGCTGAGAAAGCGGGAGGTAAAGTGTATCTCAGCTGAATCCCCGCTCGGTCCAGTGGTGTGCTGTCCATGCACAGCAAGTAATACACCTACTTTCGTTTGCTGCGTGTAACGTTTCCAATGAACGACGTATCATGCACCCGCATATTATATTTTGTTCGTGCATTCACGACACATCAGCAAACTACCATTTTTAGCATGTTAGTCGTTGAGTGTCTTCTCCGTCTTTTCTTTCTACTAGAAGCCGCTTTGCCGCTGATTTCTTTATTCTTTACCCCCATTTTGTGATACTGACCCAGTAAGTTGTTCTTTTTACCTACCGCTAGCTGACCCAAATCGGTCCCCCCTATGACCGTAGCGGCTACGAAGAAAATCCAATTGCTCGTGAGATTTGGACTCCACAATTTCTGGATATGGTGAGTTCAAGGCAAAACAAATTGGTCTTTTTATTACCCTCTGAATAAGTGCTGCATAAATTTACCGGCGGAGATCCATGTTCCAGGATCTGCTCCGAAATGATTAGGGAGCCGCACAATTAGTGACCTCAAAACCGAAAATATTATTCTGGTCAAGGCGGCATGCTCTTCAGACCATATCATCCCCAGCATGTACAGATTTGTGCTATTATCGTTATACAACACCCTGAGTGAAAAAGGAGGCAGCCTGTTGACGGATGCTTCACGACTGTGATATGAAAATGGTGCATGTAAACGTATCCCTATGGCTAATGTTAAGTTCAAAAAAACTATGGCAACAAGTCTCACTAAGTGAAGAGATTAGGCTCTCGACATAGGCGGTGTGCACAAATTACATTGCAGAAACCATTAAACAGGACGCTTTGCACTTGAGCATCACGATGTAAAGTTAAACTGCAGTCCAATTATCCAATGTTTTGTCAAAGAAAAGGTAGGAGCTTTCATCGGGCAGTATGTACCGCGCTTCCACCCGTCCACAAGCCGCCGACACTATCTACTATCCATTGGCACTTGATTAAACCTTCTGAGTGTCGTGACAGCTTAGCGTACGGTGGTCTCGCAATGGGCTTTTCCGGGGTTGAATACAACAGTCAACTCCAACATGTCTAGCTTTATCGGATGCTAGGAGTGCAATTCCAGTCTGCTCGGCTACCATAAAGGTCCGTGGCTACTGTGAATGATGAAACAGATAGACGGTTCAGCCACCCATAGCATTTTCGTCAACTGGAACTATTTGATTAGCGCAATGATAGGCTAATCCGAGCCTGATGTGACGGAGGGAGTGGCATTGCCCGCGCCAGCTTCTGTGCCAATGAATGAGTCATTAGGTACCGCTGTCTAAGTTGCCTAGGCTCAAAGAAGCATGGTTCGCTTACGCGAAAGCTTATAACCATATTCGGTTTATTTCCTAAATTGTATTGATCATGTCAATCGAAGCATGATTAACATCTACAACGTGGACTGTGAAGCACGTCATAACATGTAGAGGCGGGACAAGATACAGGCCTTGGTGTACCTACGGCTGACTAAAAGCGAGCCGCTATGAAGTAAACAACCCGGACATGATTTTGCCTAAATGGTATAAAGCAGGGGTGGTGATACTCCATATTTTTGCCAAGTTTTGTGGAATGTGAAACTTGATCCCCATATATTCCTTAATTTTCGAAAGGAATTCCATGTCAAGTTGCACCGGTATAAGCGGTGCCTCTACGGACTTGGTTATTACGCGATATTTGCAAGATAACCGACCACACGGCATACCGAAGCAGGACTGCTCTTACATACACGGCGGCTCCATTTTCAGAGTAAAGACACTCTGAGAAAATACGGAATCTTACTCTCCATCGAAACGTGTGGGTAAATCCTCAATGCCGAAAAAACTCAGCCATTCGGTGAACCTCGAGTGACAAAGCCACAAGTGCCACAGACTGTTGTGCACCTCAATGTTGGAATCCATCAGATCCATCCTTACAACAGTTGCGCGGAAGCTGTCTGACTAAAAACGCCAAATGCAATGCAAACTCTTGGGGGCTTTGTTCGAAGCCAAACTTTTAACACTGAATTTTGGAGGCGCTCTGGCCAGTCTTTTAAATTCATTTTAACGTTGTGATAAGCCCTGATGGTATGCTGACTTTTCAAGGTCAGCAAAGAAGACTGGGTTCCTATTCGTTAAGAACACTGCAGAGTCATGACGCTATTCTACATACACACGGAGGGACAGGAGACGCTTGTAAACGCGCCTAAGCACGTAGACCATGGTGGTTACCACATTTTTCAAACAGGCTGGAGGAATCACTGACCGAATAAAGTATCTGGTACACGGAGTCGTTCGTCATTACAAAAGTCGAAATAATGGCTGCTTGGTAGCTGGCCACATTACAGATCTGGCAGCAGGCTTGAGATATGGAAATCCAATGTGTGGGTAGGGTACGCCCTGCTGAGATGATCTCACTTTTTTGTCGCACCATGATGTGCTCGCATACCCATCCTACCTCCAGTAACATAGGGGCTTTGCCCATCCCCGGTGGTTGAAAGCCACGATGTTAATTCAGGAAAGATATCACAGGGCAACGTTGTTGTCTAGGTAAAGTTGTTGATTTAGACTTGAGTCGGTTTTGCCACTTATCTGGCAACGGTACAAAATATAGCCGAAAAACAACGTTTGTAACTGATTTGTTCATTGCCTACAGTAACCCAAAGTTACCTTTCAACTGTTTATCGGTTGTTTCTGCAGCGATAAACCGAAGTTATTCTGAGGCTCTTAGAGCTAACATCCGCGTATGGTTGCTACTTTTTTTGGGTTGCATCCCAGCGAGTCCATTCCGCTAGCCAGAAGACAAACACATGCTCCTCCCCTTGTTTTGGGTGGTGATCACATAGATTATAAAGTCCCTGGAAAACAGCATTCATATTTAAAATTTACTGGCTGATTGTTTCATGCACCTAACTTTGCCTGTAGCCGAAAGATATTTCTAATTTAATGGTGACCCGTACTTTTCCACTTCTATTTAGCTCACTCAGCAGCTTCCAGTTGAACTACGGTCCCTATCAGTTCTCTCAAATGTCCTTGTTCAACTATTACACGTATGCCTGCCGCCTCCTCAAGTCAATCTCTTCCCTGCACAACTGACTTCACCTTGTAGGACTCCGTAACTGAGCTAAATTTTCTCCCCTCGCCGTTTTAGTCACCCAGTTATCTACATACTAGTTGGCTATATTGGTATGATCCTCACTCACTACCACTTCAGCTGACCCCGCACCTTCCCAGAACTACGTAACTGCTCTTGCTGTATCGTTATGCCGACTGAGAAACCGACGTCCGGTGCAAACAAGCAGTACAACTCTTGCCACCAATGCTGGCCTCTTGCAACGCTATCTGTACGCGCTGCATAATAGCCAAGCAAAAGAACGAATATGGTTGCTTCTTCTGTTCTAACACTATATCGGCAACTTCAGCTAGTCCTGAGTTGCTGGGTCAGCTAATACAAATCCAAAATTAAGTGGGCACCATTTGATTTGATAGCCCACCTCATTCACCACACCCAAATGATCTCATCCTATTGTCTCGTCTTTCCAAGTTTCAATCTTCTGTGGCTGCTGCTGCAAACGCCCCGTATGCCGTCCTTCATCGTGCCTAGTTCTTGCCTTATGTCTACATGGGTCTTTAGGTAAAAATAAATTAAATGTGATTCCACATCTCCCTGAGGACATCTGTGTCAACCCCGTTGGTAAAACGAATTAAGCTTTCACAGTAATGTGCGTCTCATTTTCGGTCACAGCAGACTTGGTGTCCATCATGGAGCCGTCCAGAAATCGGAGAATGTTGGCGCAATAAAGTAGCGGTGCTGCTCTACACAGTTTCATGGGTTCATGATTGATACACAGGACCGAGGATTTTGCCCAAGTTTCCCGGGCCGGTTTTGTTCCTGTCCTTCAGCGGTTGTCATTCACCTGAAAGGTACACGTGAAAAAAGGGTGAAGCATTTATCTTTATGTCTTCAGCGTGAGGCAGAACGCTTGCCAGCGAGAGGATGTGCATAAATCATGGTCAAATAGTGCTTTGAACTGGTTCCGAAATGAGCGTGGACAACCGTCGGAGGAAGGTCATTCTACGCAGCTACTACCCGGAATGATATAAATTTAGCCCGATGAGTGTGTGCGCTCTGAGCTTGAATATCTTGCCACGTCCCGGCCATGCTTTTGCTGGACCAACGGTGAAAACCCCGTGGGCCATTCTTCGTTCAAACAGGGCATGAGTAAGAATTAGTTATCCTCCAAATGGCATATGGAAGTACTTTTCGTCATTCAGATAAAGTGCCAGTCCAACAACCACTGCTTTGCGGCGCCTACATCCATTTGTGGGACACTGGTATTTGGACCTCAGCATTTCAAGTCGTCTGCAGAACGTAGGCACGTACTTGAAAGAACGTCAGGCGGTCTTTGACGTATATAAGAAACAACAGTGGTCAAGAAACGGAACCTTGAGGAACTCCAATGGAGACCAGCGCTCGAGAACAGTAGGCAGAACCTACTTCTGTCTGCTAGGAGCGGGTTGACCCAATGTAGCATTTTCCCTTGAATCCTGTAGGACTCTAATTTTTGGAGATCAAGACCCAATCAAATGCTCTTGAGAAGTCGAAGTATATTGCATTCGATATGTGTCCCGCGTCCTCGACTAATATTAAGTTGTTCATAAACACGAGCGTTCTCGTCATGCAAGAAAGGCTTGTGAGAAATTCGCGTTGGGTTAGGAATATCAAGTTTTCAGAGGTACGGTTATCTAGGATGGCTCACTTGAGAATGCATTCCATCACCTTGCACGGCATGCTAGTGGGGCTTATTAGCCTCTAGGTGAAAAACGGTTTTCTTTGACCAGCTTTGTAGATTGGCGTGACGATCGCTTCCTTCCAAGTGAAGGAATGGTGTCCGTCGTCAAGCAGTTGATGAACCACCAAGTGGAGATACTTTTCCAGTGCAAATGTCATTTCCTTCAGAATTCTGAGATGGATCTCGTCGGGCTCAAACATGCAGGACGAGTCTGTCTTGTGCAAGAGTTGATCAATGCCCTCCCCTGTGAAGACATAGTTGGTTAGAATATGTTCGTAGTAACGCCATGACGGCATGTTTTTGTTTTCCTTGGAGAGGTCTTGTATGGTGGCTTGGATTTTTTGTTCCATTGGTGATTTGTGTTTTACAGCGGTTCCGCATTTTACGAAATGCCAACACATCTTTTGTGTCTCTTGCAGTCAACTTTTTGCGCAGTTAGAACTACTTTCCCAAAAGAATCCGAATCCTTTTAGGTGGCTTTCACCCGACTGCTTGCTGTTATCTAGATGGAACATCGTGTTCTCCTTGTGAACTTTCTGGACAATGGTCCTGTGTAACCCTACCACTAAAGCTGGTTCCGGTTTAAACTGATCAGGAGAGATGCGCATTCCTGAGAAGTCTGTTCGGCAAACTTTTCGAATCCACGTTTGAGATTTGGGATTTCTGGTGCTGTAGCAGATGAAATCAAAGATCGGCACATGGTGCTCACTGTGTCCCAGTGGGGCGCTAATTAACACGTGATCAACCAAATGTTTTTCGTTAGTGATGACCAAATCAAGGTTGGTACGCGTTAGGTGCGACGACATGTTAACCCAAGTACTTAACTGGACGAATCCGGTCGGCGCCGCTGCAAAAATCCACCTGATCCGACGGGCTGAAACCTAGGAGGCCTTTCAAGCATTGAAGTAAGTGAAGCGGTAGCTGAGAGAGTTGCATATTAGACTTTATGAGGATTTCTCATCCTCCGGAGTACTCAAGGGACAACGGTAGACCACACCAGGGAGAGATTCGGAAATGTACAGCGGCATTTGAATCCACAGTTCATCGCAAAAAGTTGAGGAGTGGCGTCAGAGAGGACAATAGGGATTGGCAGGGCAACATGTGAGTATAAAGCAAGCCCTCTATCCCCCCTCGTTTTGAATCCTCTCGAAAAATAAAGTAAACTTCTGTCGAGATCTCCACGTGGACAAGGCTTCCGTGAGCGCGATTATGGACGACTGGTCAAGGTAAGTTGACTGTTTAGTGTTCTGAAAGTTATTGAAAGGACTGAAGCGGTTTGTGGTCAAGCACTTTAATACTCTCTGCTGCCTTCAAAGGCGGAGATCCGAGAAATGTGATACCAGAGAGGTTGGCAGATTTAGTAGCTTTACGCCGAGTTTGAGGAGGAGGAACCGAAGGTCCTCTGTGGCATACTTGTATGCTTCCTGCCTTGGTGGTCTCGAGGGCTGCTTTTCGTTTGCAGGATTGTTTCACCCTGTGGTAGCCCGATTTTCTCGGGCCCTTTACCTTTGTGGGACGAAGTTTTTGCGGCACTGGCGAAAACTTTGACCCCACTCATTCAATGCCGTTGTTAGAACAGTCAAATTTGATGTTCAAACATTAAGGGCAAACTTGCGACTGCTGAGTTGCTAACGCGGTTTGATCGGAAGGTGTCTCTTTGCGGCCCTGAGCGCTGGGTGGCAGCGCCGGAAAGTATTTATTTTGGTGGCGCTCTCCTGAGGCTTGTTTCCGCAGTACATCTCGAACCTAGCCAGGAGCTTTCAGATTTGGCGAATCTTATGTGGCTTGTTTGGGTGCAGTCACCCTTCCGTGTTTGTGTTGATCTCCGAGTCACCCGCGATCAGCCTGGCCAACTGGGTGTACGAGGGGTTTTTCGGTTCGCTGTGGCCAGGTTTGTGGCTTNGGAGGCCATTTTTGACGGAGTGGAGCTAGAGACTGGCAGTTCCACATTCTCAGTGGCTGTGGTTCTCACAACACTTCCCGATGTCAAGGTCAACGCATGTGGTTGATTTGTTTGTAGGCTTTGCCGCTAGTCTCCTCACATCTAACCCAAACCAGCTGAGGAGCTGTGACTCGGGTGTAGAGTTTACTGCTGCGCCCTTATCATTTGCTACAGAAATAGGCGGTGATAGCTCTACATACTTTGAGCGTTGCTTGTGGCTTCCCTTCTCCCGAGCATCCCTGCCTCTGGTAGTCGAGGGGTCTTTGGTAGTTGAGTAAAAATTGGAATCCGGAGTCGCGGTCGGTTGCATCGGCGTGCTATCAAGAGCACAAGGACAATGACTACAATATGCCTGGCCATAAGTTCGGAGTCGGATGAAATTTGGCCTAGCGAAAGCCCGTTTCGCATCTCATCCATAGCACTTCTGTGGCCCAGCTGTCGCACTGGTAAAGGGTAGTCCTCGAATAGAGGCCTAACCGTTGGGTAGGCCTTTTGAGTGCAGACAGCCCGCTCCAAGATCTTCTGTACGCCAGATTGGGAAGAAAGGGTGACTAGAAGCCCAAGTGTTTGCTTGCTTCCCCCTGGCATAACTATTCAAGCTTCGTGAGGACAGTACCAAGGAACGACTGTGCCAGTTTCTTGAAAATGAAGCCCAGATGATCTGTCTGCTCCTCATTACGCGCTTGTCCACTAGAGACACCGTGGTGGTCTTAATGGCCGCATCAGAATGCTGGATGGCCTTCTCCGCAGCCAGCGGTCCCGGGATGGACAGAGCTAGATACGCCTCCAGCAAAGAAAGTTATCTATCAACTTTCGTCTAGGTCGCTGTGTTCTCTGTGTTTCCAACCTTCAGTGCTTCAGGAAGAAGCTCTAGTTTCTCGTCAAACATCAGGATTGAAGCGGAAAATTCACACTGGTCTTTCCCATTCATCAGTGGGGATTTGATTTTGTTCCCGATGGCTGTCTTTTTAGCTGTGGAGTGCATTGAACGCTTAATGTGGAGACAACTGGCGTAGATGAACTTGTCAGGTGAGTTAGCTAGTTGGCTTACCTGGTCGTCCTGTAAACCCATGTATTTAAAGTGCCACCAGGTCCATCAAATGTCCACCGTGGGATTCCGGTTCGCTCGGGTGTTTTACCTTTGGATGACGTAGTTTTCCCATCCTGAGCGAAAATTTTGACTGCTACATATAGCTCGTTCAATATCACCTTTTGGACAACTGCGTTCGCTGTTGTCCAGGGATTTAGGGCAAACATGCGTTTGTTTGGTTTCTTGGGCATTTTGGCGTGGTTTGATCGATAAGATGTCTCGGCGAGGCACTGTGCGTTGTGTGACAGCACCAAGAAGTAATCATTTTGGTGGCGCTCCCATGATGCTTGTTTTCTTAGAGGGCTTCGCCTCGAAGCTAGCCAACAGCTGTCTGATTTGGCGAAGTTTTTGTGGTTTGCTTGACTACAGTATGTATTTGTTGACTTCCGATCATCGTGGCCAACTGCGTACAAAAATGATTTCCCGGTTCGTTGTTGTCGGGTTTGTGGCTTTGGCTGTCGGGATCATGGGCGACGACTCTGTCCAAAGAGGCCATTTTTGACGGAGTGGAGCTGGAGACTGACATTGTCACATTCTCAGTGGCTGTATGGTTCTCGCAACATTCCCCGATGTCAGGGTCAACGCATGTGGTTGATTTGTTTGTAGGCTTCGCCCCTTTCTCCTCACATCTAACCCAATCCAGATCAGAAGCTGTGACTTGGGTGTGGAGTTTGCTGCTGCGGCTTTATCATTTGCTACAGAAATAAGTGGTGATAGCTCTACGTACTTTGGATGCTGCGTCCACACGAGGCTTGCGTTCTGCAGAGCATCGCTGCTTTTGGTAGCCGAGAGGTCTGTGGTGGTTGAGTAGAAACTGCAATCCGGTGTCGTGACCGTTTGCATCGGTGTGCTCTCAAGAGCACAAAGAGCCGTAGCTATCATCAGATTGGCCATAAATTCTTGGTCGGCTGAACTTGGGCCTTGCGTAGGCCTATTTTGTGCCTCTCATCTAGGGATCCTGTAGCCCAGCTTTTGCGCCTCTAGAAGGCGATCCTCGGACATGGGCTCGACCGTTGGGTAAACCTTCTGAATGCTGACAGCCCACTCCAGGATCTTCTGTGTGGCAGATGGGGGAAAAAGCGACCAGAAGCCTGAAGGTTTGCTTGCTTCCCTTTCCGTGCGGCGTTTTTGTACCTTTATTTTACTTCCATTATAACACTAGGTATTTCATCAATTGCAT